AAAAATCAAAACCAGACAAAGAAATCGAGTGGCCTCTAAGGAAAATACCTAGGGTCATTCTGTGGTCCCCACAGGCATGCGCGCGCACGTGTACACACACACACACACACACACACACACACACACACACACACACACACACACACACGCCTGCCTACATGTAAGCAGAGAGAATGAGAATAGGGGGGAAATGTCGGTAGAATAAGAGTCATTAATTTTCTTTCTGTTATTTTTTGGTTTTGTTTGGTTTTGGTTTTTGGTTTTTGTTTGTTTGTTTGTTTGTTTGTTTTTGAGACAGGGTTTCTCTTTGTAACCCTGGCTGTCCTAGAACTCGATCTGTAGAACAGGTTGGCCTCAAAGTCACAGAGATTCTGCCTCTTAAGTGCTGGGATCAAAAGTGTGCACCACCATTTGTTTGTTTGTTTGTTTTTGAGACAGGGTTTCTCTTTGTAACCCTGGCTGTCCTAGAACTCGATCTGTAGAACAGGTTGGCCTCAAAGTCACAGAGATTCTGCCTCTTAAGTGCTGGGATCAAAAGTGTGCACCACCATTGCCTGCCGTGCATGCGTGTGTTTGTTTGTTTGTTTGTTCATTTGTTTGTTTGTTTGTGGCAGGATTTCTCTGTCTCTAGTCCTGGCTGTCCTGGAATTCAGATCTGCTTGCCTCTGCCCCCTGCCTCCACTGCCGCCGCCACCAGACAAAGTCACTCATTCCCTAGTGTATAAGGCATGACACTGGCAAGCAGGGCTAAGGATATGCTGAGCCTATGTGAGACCCTGGATTCAACCCCTTAACACTCTAAAAAAATTGATTTAAAAAACAAAAAGGATAGGCTGGGCTGGAGGAGTGGTTCGGTGGTTAAGGGCACTGGCTTCTCTTCTAGAGAATCTGAGTTTGGTTTCTCGCACCCGTGTTGGGAAATTCACAGCCATTTGTAACCTCCTCCTTCCAGGGAATCAGACACCCTCTTCTGTCCATCACACAAATAGCATATAGATAGATAGATAGATAGATAGATAGATAGATAGATAGATAGATAGATAGATAGATAGATAGATAGATAAACATGCACAGAAGCAAAAATCTTTTTTTAAAAGACAAAATTATGATCTGTTGACTTCAAATAAATTTACTGTGAAAAGAACTGAATCTCTGAGGTTATTGAGTCTAACGTTACTTATTTCTGTTTTACTTCTGTGGTGGTTCGTTTTGACTGTCAACTTGATGAGATTTAGAATCACCGTGGAAACAAATTTCTGGGCTTGTCTGTGAGGGTTTATCTAGATTAGGTTAATTGAGGTGGGAAAGCCTGCCCTGAAAGTGAGCAGCACCATTTCATGAGCTGGGGTCCTGGGCTGGATAAAGAGCATAAGTGAGCATAAGTGCTCCCCCTCTCTGCTTCCTGGTAGTGCGTGCCATGTGACCAGCTGCTTGACGGTCCTGCTCCGTGCACTTCCCCTGCCATGATGGACTGCACCATGGAGTCGTGATACACGTGTATCTCTCCTTCCTTAGGTTGCATGATAGCTAACCATGTTTCTGCTGAGACAGCACATGTGGCATCGAAGCCAGTGGGGTCTGTTCTAGGAAACTCCCCTCCCCTGTGGCCCTGGAAAACACATGTTAACACTAGATGGGAATGAGGTCGCTTTTGACTTACACTGACAGTGTAACTGAGGTTGTTTTTATGACAGCTTTATACTGGCTTTGGCAGTGTCTTTCAAGGTATTAAAATGTGCATATTCCTAAGGGGAAACAAGTGAAAAAGCTCATCAAGGTCTGGTTCTCAACCTTCCTAATGCTGCAGCCCTTTAATATGGTTCTTTGTGTTGTGGGGACCCCCAACCATCAAGTTATTTTTGTTGCTGCTTCATAACTGTGATTTTGCTACTGTTAGGAATTGCAATGTAAATATTGTGTTTTCTGATGGTCTTAAGCAACTCTTTGTGAAAGGATCATTCGACCCCATAAAGGGGTCCTTGACCTATAGGTTAAGAGCTGATGTTGAAGATGTTTGTGACCAGGTCTCACAGTGTAGCTAAAGTTGTCCTGGAATTCTCCCAGTAGCCTAGACCGGCCCTGAATTTGCCCAGAGAGAATACTGAATACTGTTTTGTTGTTGTTTGTTTTGTTTTGTTTGTTTGTTTGTTTGTTTGTTTTTCCTCCCTGAAACAGGTCTCAGTGTCCTGGAACTTGCTCTGTAGACCAGCCTGGCATTGAATTCACAGAAATCCACCTGCCTTTGCCTCTCAAGTGCTGAGATCAAAGGTGTGCACCACTATACTACCTTCAGAGAATCTGACTAAACTGCTTAGAGTGGGAGGTCTGGGCATACGTAGATTATTTTAAGTTTTCTTAAGTGTTGGGAGTGAGGTTCAGTGGTACGGCATTGTTTCTTGAGTTCATTCCCCATCATTATACTGAAAAGTGCTTCCTTTTTTTTTTTTTAAATGTGTGTTGGTGTTTTGCCTGCATGCATGTCTGTGTGAGGGTGTCAGATCCCCTGGAACTGGAGTTACAGACAGTTGTGAGCTGCCATGTGGGTGCTGGGAATTGAACCCGGTTCTTCTGGAAAAACAGCCAATGCTCTTAACCTCTGAACCATCTCTTCAGCCCCTCAAAAAGTGATTCTTAGAGGTGGGTAATACTGAGAAACACTGTCCTTCGATGACCCTGCTCTGCCTGCTTCTGTTGCCAGCCTGAAAGCTCATCTTAGGATGGTTCAGGGTCTTGTGCATGCTCAGGTAGTACTCTACCACTGACCTACATTGCCTACCTTTTACTTTCAAAATAACTTTTCATTTTAGAATACATTTAAATTTACACGAAATTACACTGATAATACATAAAATTCCCGTTCCCTACGCTCAGTGTTTCCTGTTTAACAGTCTTAATGTATTCATCACAGTTAACTATAATGACATATTTTTTGAAATACCTCATTTGAGCCTGTCATGGTTGCATATGCCTTTAATCCCAGCACTTGGGAGGCAGCAACAAGCAGATCTCTGAGTTCCAGGACAACCAGGACTACACAGAGAAACCCTGTCACAAAAAGAAAAAAAAAATTTTTCATTAAAGATTATTTTTGTTTTAATTATGTGTAGATGCACATGAGCGTAGGTGTCCACAGAGGGCAGAGGCCTTGAATCTCCCTAAAGCTGTAGTTACATGGGGATTGCCACCTTTTTGGGTGCTGGGACTGAACTGAGATCCTCAGCAAGAGCAGTACATACTTCTTTTTTTTGTTTTGTTTTTGTTTTTGTTTCCCAAGACAGGGTTTCTCCGTGTAGCTTTGGAGCCTGTCCTGGATCTCGCTCTGTAGACCAGGCTGGCCTCAAACTCACAGAGATCCTCCTACCTCTGCCTCCCGAGTGCTGGGATTAAAGGCATGCGGCCGCCACCGCCACCGCTACCGCCACCACCACCGCCACCACCTGGCAAAAAGAAAACATACTTCTTAACCATTGAACCATTGCTTTTGCCCAAGGAAAAAATACGTGTTTTAAGATTTTGTGTGTGTGTGTGTGTGTGTGTGTGTGTGGCGGGGGTGGGGTGAGGGGTGGGGGAAGGAGAGAGGCTCTTGTTCGATAGCCCAGGCTGTCCTCAGATATAACTTCCTAGGCCAGTAACACTGGTTTGCAGTATTTCAGATTGGGATGGAGAGACGACTCAGTTGGTTATAGTGCCTGCTGCATAAGCAGGAGGGTCTGAGTTCAGACTCGACTCCACGTTAAAAGCCAGAGGGTGATGGCAGACTCCTGTAACTGCAGCATTAGAGCCTTGCAGTCTGTGCGTGTCAGGTCCATTGAGATTTGTCTTACAAAGTGAAGGTTAAAAAGGGAAGAAATGAAAATTTGGAGTTTTGTTTGTTACGTTTAGAAGGGGGAGTGGAGAGGTGACTCAGAGGTTCCAAGCACTGTCTGCTTTCCCAGAGGACCCAAGTTAGATTCCCAGCACTCACATGATGGCTCCAGTTCTAGGGGATCCTTCACCCTTTGCTGGCCTCCAAGGGCACAGCTGCACATGGATTGCACAAAATACAGGCAAAACACTCATACACACAAAAATAATTGTTAGAAAAAAGTCTGGAGAGATTATCTAATCCAGATTAAACATTGTACATAAAGGAAACTAAATTACAGAACTAAAATCTTGTCCTTGAGTACAGAGTACACAATCAAGACAAGAAACTTTGTTTTGACTTAACAGTCTGGTTGAGATAAATCACTGTCGGGCTAGAGAGATGGCTCAGAGGTTAAGAACACTGACTGTTCTTCCAGAGGTCCTGAGTTCAATTCCCAGCAACCACATGGTGACTCACAACCATCTGTAATGAGATCTGGTGCCCTCTTCTGGCCTGCAGACATACATGCAGACAGAACATTGTATGCATAATAAATAAATAAATGAATGAATAAATAAATAAATGAATAAATCACTGTCTCTGTGGTTGCCAGCATTAGGAATTCTGGACAGTAGAGAGTACCTTAACTCATCTTTGTATAATACCCTGAAGTAAGCATTTGTTGAATGAAAGGTCTCTGAATGGAGGGAGGGATGTGGCTTTTGTACTGTTGATTTTGGCCCAGCACTGTCTGATTTTCAGGCATGGATATGCATATGAACTGTTAGGTTTGATGCGATTGGACACCCGAGGGAGGTAGTGAGAAAGGAACCTAGAAAGCCAGTTATACTACTGTAGAGAGGCTCTGTGTGTGCTCCGCGGTCCAGGTTTGCATAGGCTCTAGGGGTTAACCTCAGCTCCTTGTATGTGCAAGGCAAGCACGTGACTAAATGAGCTACCTCAGCTGCGTCTGTGTGGCCAACAGTGACCCTTCTTCCTCCACCCCCAGTTGCTAATCCCTGCATGTGTTGCCATACCTGGTGTATGCAGTGCAGGAAATGGAGCCCAGGGCTCTGTGCATGCTAAACTAGACAAGCACTCTGCCAACTCAGTCCCAGTCCCATAGTGACCTTGTGCTTCCCCTTCCTTTCAGGATCTGACTGGCATAGAATCCATGGAGCAGTGTCGCCTTGCTTTGGAGCAGCATAACTGGAATATGGAGGTACGGGCACCCACCTACCACACTCACAGTGAAGTCCCGCTGCACAGCGCCTCTCCCATTATGTTATATCAGAATTATAGCTTCTTTGTGTTTAAAATACACACGTAGAGGTATAGAAACTATGAAAATAAAGAATCCCATTCATGTAGTGCCTCTGTCCTTACCCTTCCTAGGAACAGGTATTCTCACCACCATGCCTGTGGTGTTCATTACACTGCAGTGTTAGCCGCTTTGAGGTAGAATGTGACTAGCAGGGAAACCCCAGGACAACAGAATTCTCATTTTGGGTTTGTTAATTGCTCTGAGCATAAAACTTATATAGATTTTTTTTTTTTTTTTTTTTTTTTTGAGATAGGGTTTTGTTTTGTTTTTGTAGCCCTGGCTGTCCTAGAACTCGCCCTGTAGATCAGGCTGACCTAGAATTCAGAGATCTGCCTGCCTCTGCTTCCTGAGTGCTGGGAGTAAAGGCATGCACCACCCCACCCCCAACTTTATGTTTAGATTCTTGATGCTAGGCTGTGATGGTGCACACCTTTAACCCCAGCACTTAGGAGGCAGAGGCAGACAGATCTCTGTGAGTTCTAGGCCAGCCTGGTCTCCCTGAACAAATTTCAGGATGGCCAGGGCTACACAGAGAAACCTTGGCAAAAAAAAAAAGAGTAGATTCTTAATGGGTATCTGCTGACCACTTCTAGCATATTAGCAGCTTATATATGCTGGCTGAAAGATCCTCTCTCAAAGAGGATGGAAGGCATCTGTGGAAATACACAGAGGTCATCACCTGACCTCTGGCATGAGTGTGTGTGTACACAAAATTAAAAGTTTTATTTTTTTTCTATGGCATAATTCAGTTTATCCTTTCCATATTAGTCTTTCATTTTACTTCATTTTAGGTGTCTGGGTCTCTAATAATTTTCTGTTGACATCATAAATCTATGAGTATATTTTAAATTAAATATTTCAAATAAAAATAAATATACTTGGGGGAAGGGTAAACTAGGCATGGTAACACCTACATGTCAACCCTTGGGAAGCTAAGGAAGAAGATCAGGAGGGGAAGCCCTGTGTGAAGTACATAGCAAAGCCTGTCTCAGAAGGAGGAAGAAGAAAGTAGGGCAGTCCTGTGCCTCCCTTTCAGCTCCTAACCCTGATGTGTTTTATGTAATACAGTTTCAAATTTCTGCTCATCAGATGTGGATAAAACAGCTTGTCTGTGAGTTGCTTGCATGTCCTCTCTTGCTCCCCATTTCCTTCTTTCTTGGGGTAAATTGCTGTTGACAGGTATGTGTTTACCAAAGATTGAATATTTTGTGAGCTAGAGATTTATATTTTTTTATTTTGTTTTTGGTTTTTCGAGACAGGGTTTCTCTATGTAGCTTTGGAGCCTGTCCTGGAACTCACTCTGTAGATCAGGCTGGCCTCAAACTCACAGAGATTCACCTGCCTCTGCCTCCCGGGTGCTGGGATGAAAGGCGTGTGCTCTCACTGCCTGGCTATATCCATGTTTTTTATTCCTTCATATTTGATTAGATTACTTTGCATAGCTTAAATGTGACTGGAAAGGTTTATTTCCCAATGGTATTGTCTTGTCTTTTTCCAATTACAGAAACAAAATATGCCTATAAAAGTTTAAACACAAAATTCTTACACTTTGTAGAGAAACCTGGGGACCAACCTCAGAAGGTGCAGCTTGGCAGCGAGCTCTTCTACCTGTTGGCTTAGTTAGTTTCTACTGCTGTGATAAAAAGACCATGAGCAAAGTTTATTTCACTTGCAGTCAGTGCCACATCACAGTCCATCACTGAGGGACGTCAGACCAAGAACTCAAGGCAGAAGCTGAAGTAGAGTCTCTGAAGGAGTGCTGCTTACTGGCTTGCTCCTCATACTTGCTCAGCCTGCTGTCCTGTATTATCCAGGACCACCTGCCCTGGGGTGGCATCACCCACAGTGAGTTGGGCCCACTCATATCAATCATTAGTCAAGAAAATGCACCACAGACTTGCCTATAAGCCAGTCTCATGGAGGCATCTTCTCTGTAGAGGTTCCCTCTTCCCAGATGAACCTAGCTTGTGCCAAGTTGACAAAAAGCTAATTAAGATACCCACTGAGCCAGCTTGCCAGGCCTGAAAGATTATTCTTTGCCCACTGAGTATGATTTGACTGCCTGGAATTAATCAAACCATAAAGGTTAAGTCCACTTCTCAAGTTTAGAAGACACATAGCCCTCCCAAAGACCACTCTTTCTTCTGACACCAACTGTGAGTTCAATGGAATTCCAAAATGATCCTCAAGCTTAATTCACTAGAAACACACTGAATTCACTTAGTTCAATAGAAACACACCGAAAACTGTTCTATAGTCCTAATAGTTTTTGATAGGATACTAATGTAGGTTAAAAACCAGCTAAGAGACTTCAAACAGGATTTCAAAGGCTTCCCACATAGGAAATGTGTATATCCATCTTCTGTGGAGTCAGGATGCATTACCTTCCTTACACAGATAGGTGACAGTATGCATAAGCTACTGACAGCCAGAGACATATACCTTTGTTTTTTTCTGGAGCTGGTGACCGAACCCAGGGCCTTGCGCTTGCTAGGCAAGCACTCTACCACTGAGCTAAATCCCCAACCCCCAGAGATATACACCTTAATGAAATGTCCAGAGTGGGTTTTCGTTTTTCAGGTGGTTGTTGTTGGTCTTCATTATCTAGGCATAATTGATTTGATTGGCTGCCCATATGGTTGAATGCAATCTCCAAATTGACAGACACCCAGTTATCCAAAGTCCCCACCCTAAATCATATGGCTGGTCTTTCTGACATTACCACATTTTCTCCTCAGACTATTTATTAGGTGGTGGAGCAATCCCAGTAATAATAACAAAAGAGGTACTCCCATCAGGTAGAATAGGTCATTGAGGAGAAACCAGACATCTCTTTGGGTATGGCCAATTTTGTCACAAAACAGGGACAGAAAACTATTTTCAGAGACAGAATTTAGAGAATGAAGGGTTTTTTGTTGTTGTTGTTTTTGTTTTTGTTTTTTTAAACCTGAATATTCAGATTTTTTTTCTTGGTGAATTTGTTTTGTTTTGTTCTGTTTTTGAGACAGAATCTCTAGCCAAGGCTTGACTCAGACTTCCTATATAGCTCAAAATGACCACCAGCTTTTGATCCTCCCTTCCCCACCTCCTGAATTCTGGGACTAAAGCAATGGTTTATGCCTCATACATGCTAGCACTCATCAACTGAGCCACATCCCAAGCCCTGAATATTCAGATTAAGTTGACCTTCCCTTCAAATTCCTCCCACTTTGAAGAATTTCTCACTTTTTTTTTTTAAACAAATCTGTTTCTTTACAAGAAAGAAAGAAAGAAAGAAAGAAAGAAAGAAAGAAAGAAAGAAAGAAAGAAAGAAAGAAAGAAAGAAAGAAAGAAAGAAAGAAAGAAAGAAAGAAAATTCAGGGCTGGAGAGATGGCTCAGCTGTTAACAGCACACTGGCTGTTCTTCCAGAGGACCCAGGTTCAGTTCCCAGCACCCACATGAAAGCTTACAACTGTCTGTAACTCCAGTTCCAGTGGAGTTACACCAATGTACAAAAAATAAAGTTAAAAAAATTTCAGATTAATTCTAAGCATTAAGTTTCCTTCAATTTTGCACATAAAGACTCTAAGGCTTGTGTTTTGTTGATACTCATGGAAGAACCACCCTTTCCTGGATGGAGACTGAAGCAGAGGGGCTGGGGGATACACACTGGGAGGGGAGAATGGGAGGAGGCAGGCTGTGGCCGGGATGTAAAATAAATAGTTGAATTTTAAAGAACAAAGAGAAAGAATCTACGACTCGTAAGTTAGTCTCTTTCCGGGCTGTGGGGCTCTATTCAGACTCTACTGTCTTTGCCAGAACTGCCTGTCAGATCCTGATGGCCAGTCCTGCCCACTGCACAGCCCTGGAGGTGCTATCCTGCTGCATTCTGGGGACTGCCTTTCCTGGGTTGTGTGGTAAAGCACGTTGTACTTTAGCCATTCTGAATAACACATATTAGTAATAATGTGCTTACTGTGTAAATGTGGCTTCAAGACAAGTTGCCGATTGCACCGTATGAGATTTCCCATTGCCCCATAGCATAGCAGGAGAAAGGTCCCTTGACATGTACTCATCAAGTGGCATTCATGTAATGTTGACCTTGTTTTGAGACACCAAACAGTAGTTTCTCCTTGGGTGGATTTGAGCGTCACTGAAGTTCTGCGTTCTGTTTTCCTTCTCAGGCTGCAGTCCAGGACAGACTGAATGAGCAAGAGGGTGTACCGAGTGTTTTCAATCCACCTCCGTCCCGACCCCTACAGGTTAATACAGCTGATCACAGGATCTACAGCTATGTTGTCTCAAGACCACAACCAAGGGCAAGTTTTGTAGCTAGAATATCCCCCTTTTTAACGATTTCACCCATTTGGTTTTGTTATCTTCGTGTGATAGAGCAAAAGAAATGTTGGCAGTATAAACTTGTTAGGTATGGGCCCTTGGAAGACTTAATGGGTTTATCAGTTTCCCTGGATCTTTTAATGAATTGCTATAGGAACTATTTTTCTGTTCTTTACTGAGAAAGTATTTTCTGTACCTTGTTTTGAGCAACTTGCTTTTGAAATGTCTGCTGCAGGCTGAATAGAGCTGCTTCGAGCATATGTCTGTGCCCACATGCCTGCAGGAGCCCATGGAAGCCTGAAGAGGCACTGCATCCTTGGGGACTGGAAATGGGCTGTTGTGAGCCACCATGTGGGTGCTGGGAACCAAACCTGGGTCCTTTGTAAGAGCAGTAAGTGCTCTTACCACTGAGCCATCTCTTCAGCCCCCGTGTGTGTGTGTGTGTGTGTGTGTGTGTGTGTGTGTGTGTGTGTGTGTGTGTGTGTGTGTGTGTGTTTTGTTTTGTTTGGAGACATGATTTGACTCTGTAGCCCAGACTGGCTGTCAACTCAGTCTAGCCCAGGCTGGACCAGAAATCACTAAATAACCCAGACTAGTTGGCAACTCACTACAGCCTAGGCTGAATTGGAACTCACTGTGTAGGACAGGCTGCCTCAAACCTTGGACATTCTTCCTGCCTCAGCCTTTGAGTTCTGGAATGGTTGCATGGACAGCCTACTGTGCCTGGCAGCTTTCTACCGTTAAATTGCAATCTGATAAGTTTTCTGTGACTTGAGTTTACTTGACTTCAGCTACTTTTAAGGAAGTGCTTAGAGTCTTTGGGAATTCCGTGCCGCTGTTTTGAAACTGGTCCTGAGGGACTGGTGGCAGAGAGGTGGTGGGCTGCAGAAGGCACCAGCTGACTGCTCCTAGGGTGTGCAGAGGTCCAGAAAGAACTAGTTGACTGCTGCCTTCCTCCTCCTCTCCTCCTCCTCCCCATTCATTCCCTTCCTTCCTTTCCTTCACTGCCGCCCCTCCCCCTTTCTTTCCTTTATAAACATTGTTGTATCACATTTTTATTAATTTGTATATGTGTGCATGTAGGTCAGAGGACAACCTGCAGAGTCAGTTCTCTCCTTCCGCCATGTGGGTCACAGGGACAGCAGACCCTCTGCCTGTTGATCCACTTCCTCTTTTTGAGGCAGGATCTCACTGTGTAGTCCAGGTTATCATCGAACTCTGGACCCTTTTGTCTTAGCTTTCCTATTTACAGTCTGATTTCTCATGATATGTTGAAGGAAATTAGATATATAACTGATCATGAACTCCAAAGAACTTTCTGGAGCTTATCTTATCCTTGAGTGAGGACACTCATCCCTTGAACATCTATTTAGAATTAAAAAAAAAAAACAAAAAACAAAAAAACTTTTTAAGTACTTCAGTAAATCCTAGAACAATTAAAATTACTCCATTATCATACCTTTTTTTTGTTTATGTGTCTGGAGTACTTTAATGTTTCAAAAGGCTTTAGAGGTTGTGATCCTGGCCCTGGGGAGGCTGAGGTGGGGGGAGCTCCAGTTCAGGGACCGCCCAGCTCTGTTTATGAGACACTGCCATAGAGAGAAAAGGACTCAGCAGTCAGGAGTGCTTGGCTGCTCTTCCAGAGGACCTAGGTTGGATTCCAAGCACCCACATGGTAGCTCACACCTATCTGTAGCTCCAGTCACAAGGGGATCCAGTGCCCTCTTCCAGCCTCCACAACTCCCAGGCACACACATAATACACAGATATCATGTTGGCAAAACACCCATACACATAAAATTAAAATTAGAATTAAAAAAAGCAGGCAAACAAAAAAAGTGCTGAGGCAGGAGGATCACAAGTTTTGAGGCTAGCCTGGGCAACGTAGTGCAGCCATGTCCCCAGATAAATGTGGAGCTTAACTACCCTTTTCCGTAGAGGATATCCTTCCAGGGTGGAAACCCGAGACTCTCAGGACTGCTAAGCCTTATTATTTAATGCTTTTTCCATCTTCACCAAGCATTTACCATCACTTTTGCTGTTGAAGGGATAGCAGTAAAGCCAGCACAGATTTCTCTTCCTTCACAATTTTATGAACAAAAGATTGGTTGTTATTGTAGATATTAGCAACCTCACCATATGGTTTCCTGGCTTAAGTCTTACCTGTTCACTTAAATGGGTCATTTTGTGATTTCCCTTTGCCATATCAGTTCCAGCTAATTTTTTAGTTTTGTTGTTGTTGTTTTGAGACCAGGTCTCCTATGTAGCCTTACCTATCCTTGAACTTGCTGTGTACAGCAGGTTGCCTCAAACTCACAAAGATCCACCTGCCTCTGCCTCTCCAGAGCAGGCATTAAAACCGTGCACCACCATGTCTAGCAGGGGCTTTTTTTTTCCCCCAAGACAGGGTTTCTCTGTACAGCTTGACGCCTTTCCTGGATCTCACTCTGTAACTCAGGCTGGCCTCGAACTCACAGAGATCCGCCTGCCTCTGCCTCCTGAGTGCTGGGATTAAAGGTGTGCACCACCACCGCCCAGTGCAGGGGCCATTTTTTTTTTTTTTTTTTTTAAAGTAAAATAAGGATTACTTGAACACAAGCAACACCCTGACACATCTGCTAACCAGGATGGCTGCTAAGATTCTAATAGGCAGGTGTTATGTATGGAATGCTGGATGAAGAGATTCTTCCTGAGTAGGAAGTGAACAGCATGGCACACTATTCTACCACACTATTCATTTTGCAGTTTAACACTTACAAATTATTTAGTTTTTGAATTTTCCACTTAATATTTTCAGACCTCAGTTGTCTGAGGATAACTGAACTGTAGAAAAAAAAAGCCATAGATAAAGGGAAGAAAGACTAAGTAGATGAGTATAGACTTGCCAAGTAAAGGCACCTGCTTGAAATACTAGCATTCAGTTGCCTTAAGCAGGCCAGCCTGGGCTACATACTGAGTTCTGGGACAACCAGGACTATAGAGACAGCCTGTCTCAAACAAACAAACAAGAAACTCCAAATTCCTGGAGCAATATATAACTCAAGGAGTAGTTCTCTATATACCCGTTCCCTCAGCTTGAACTGGCTCACTTTGTGATTGAGACCCCAGTCCCCATTCAGCTTTAGCGCCCCCCTGATGATGACACAGGACACGTTGACACGGTGTGACAATAAGCCCTGTTTGTATATGACAGCAATAAGATAAGGTTCATTAATGTTACTACAAAGATTAGTAGCTATAAGGATTTATCCTTATGATAATAGACTTGTACTAGTGTCCAAAGTAATAATAAACATCTCTCTTGATATTTCTGTGTGCCATATGTTGATGTTTAAATATAAGATGGAAAGAATGAATATTTATTATGTGGGGAGAAACTTGAAGTTGACGATGAATATAAGTAGTTGCTGGAGAATGTTATGGAGATTAAAGATAAAAATCCTGTGGGAAAAAATAATAGTCTTAGATGAAATAATACCAAAAGCAGTAGCATCGAAGGCTGAGATTGCCAGGAAGAGGACACTGTATATTATAGAGAGAAGAGTCGCCATAGTGGGGTCAGGGGCATGGAAATACGAACTAGCCATTTTCTGAAGTGTTGGACATTAAGAGAATGAGGTCTCTAACTTTGTTTTTGGAATTTCAGGGGCTGCTTGGATGGGGTTATTACTTGATAATGCTTCCATTCCGGTTTACCTATTACACGATACTTGATATATTTAGGTATGTACCTCTGTGTTTATATACTACCAGCAGCAGGGTAGGCTCTGAAGCTGAAACTCAGACTAGAGTAAGCACTGATGCTCAATCATTTTTTACTAGCCAGTTTGTTACCAGATTAAATATTCTTCCTGCACTCTCTTTTTGTATAGTAAAAAAAAATGTTTTCAATTGCTACACAGTGGAAGGTGTTATAATTGGCTGTAAATTGGTCCTGGCTGTTGTTTGTAGGAATCAAATTAATCTGCCTGTTTTCGGTCTTTCCCCTTCCCCACCACGTTTGTCTCCACTACATTCCCCAGTTAATCACCATGCCCTTTCCTTTCTAACCACCATTATCTATCTCCCAACTTCATACTCCAGGAACTTTTACCCTAAACCACTTCTCTGCCTGACTACAGTCCCAGAAGATTTCCTTGTTCTGAAACAACCCACTTTGCCATAGATTGTTGGCATCTCTCTAGGCAGTGTTTTGTACATTTCCCTCTGCCCTGGCAATGCTTAGGTTGCCAACACTGGAACCCTTTCGTATATATACCCACTCGTTTCATACCTTCACCGTCAAGCTTTCTTTGTGTACCACTCAAAGAACTTACCATGGGAAGCTATAGTGTGTGTCCAGAGCTAGGAAATGTTGAGTGTGACCTGACTTCTGGCAGATCAGGCTTAGCACAGAATATGGTCTGGAGCTACACCCAGGCTTTGTCGGAGACTGAAATGTTCATTGGAGGCTAGGTGTGGTAGCACGCACCTGTAATGCTATTGAGAATGAGGCAAGAGGACTTTGAGTTTGGAAAGAGGTGGGGAGAGTATAAATGAATGAGCATGACATGCAGGCCACCAGATGGAGCTGGAAGTACAGTGTGTGCGCCTTCCAAATTCAGGGTAGCTTTTGCTGTGCTCCGAATCGCAGAGGCTGGAAGTAAGGACCCAGCCACTGCAGAAGTTCAGGGATTGGATAATTGTTTCCCCTTGGTCTCTTGTTTAATGGCATCCTTGCTGTAGCAAAGAACACCCCACCCACCCACCCAACTGTAGCCCTGGCCGTCCTAGAACTCTCTGTGTAGACCAGGCTGGCCTCGAGCTCAGAGGTCTGCCTGCCTCTGCCTCCCGAGTGCTGTGATTAAAGGCGTGCGCCACCACCACCTGGCCAGTGTAGACTTCTTAGTGCCTACTTGCTTTGTAGTTTTCCTGTCTCTTTTATTCAGGAATGGGCATGTGGAACCATAAAATCTTTCAAAATCACAATGAAACCTGAGTCGACACATAGTTCTTAAATTACGTTGGCTGTGGAAATACATTGTAATGAGAAACAGTAGACTTAAAGCCTTTACCCCTTCCTAGAATTTGGACACTTAAAAAGAGATAACCCTAAATAATCTTTTCAGAAAAATAGTCAAAGTACTGGCCTTCTGAAACACTCATAACTGCTTCCATATATATATATATATATATATATATATATATGTAATGACATTTTATGTCTTTAATTTTCTTGGAATGTTTGTATTGATGAATTTGGTTTAATGACAGGAAAAACTGAATATCATTGCATACATGTGGAGAATTTGTTCAAGTATTAATAGGCTCAAGAATTGGTAAAGAAAGTATCAGAGTGTAGTTATCTTTTACTATGCTAAAAAATTCAAGTACATATTGTTTGCTTTCCTTTAGAAAATATGCATGGCATGTTTTACTAATTTTAATGTAGTGGTGTCATCCAGGCAACTTAATGTGAAATATCCCACTTCATCCCCTACCCCACTGCCTTCTATGGAAACCCAAAGCATAAAGAAGGGGTAAGGTGCAGTGTGATAGGATAGGCTCTTTAGGAATAGATGTATGGGCTCATTAGGCAATGCATCCTTGAATCTAAAGTCACTAACAGTACCCGACTTCTGGGTCAGTTTTATGGATGCCATCAGTGCAAACACAGTGAAGCAAAGTTACCTGCCCCTCTGAAGAACAAGTAAGTTGTGACTAAATTCAGGTTTGAAGTCCCTATTGATAACCTGAGTAACTTGAGAGTATGAGTTAAAAAAAAAAATCGGAATCCCAGAAGGACAGGAAGCTGCAGAAGGAGGTGTTGGCTCTAGGGCAGTGTTTGTCCTGTGCACGCTTTGATTAAGACACATTCTTTGTCTCTGTTGTTCAGTGTGGAGGTCACTAACCACGTGTGTCTGTTGAGCACTTGAAACATGGCAGGTGTGACTGAGGCACTGAATTTTAACTGTATTTAACTTAATGTGTTTAAATTTATAGCCATAAATAGTTAGTGGCTGCTGTGGTAGACAGTGTCTAGGATTGTGATCTTCCTTACCCAGTCCTTCTAGCCCTGTTTTTCTGCAGAAAGCACTCCAGAAGGGTTAGGCCAGCATTGGAATGTTGTAGTCCTAGTGGTGTGCATTCTTCTTGAGCAGACAGCTTGTGGCTTTTGAGCCAGGCTCTACACTCAGATTTGATGGCCCACTCACTGACCATTCACTTCCTTTGCTAGATGCCTCTGGCTCTGTTGTAAAAGTCTGTACAAACTGGCCCACTCCATATGCACTACAAGAAGCCAATTCATGTGATATTTATTCCTTCCTCCCCAGGTTTGCTCTTCGTTTTATACGGCCTGACCCTCGCAGCCGGGTCACTGACCCTGTTGGGGACATTGTTTCATTTATGCACTCTTTTGAAGAGAAATATGGGAGGGCACACCCTGTCTTCTACCAGGGAACGTACAGCCAGGTCAGTGCCACAAACCAAATAGATGCCAACTTAACAATATGATTCTGTCCTCAAAGGGAAGTGTAGTTTAGCTCTGATCATGTTGCTCTTATACTCAAAAGACTTAAATAGCTCTTCATTGGTTATAGGAGAATTTTTTTTTTTTTAAAGACAGGACCAGACCTTTTATCTAGGCCCTCCTTGATCTAATCCCAATCTTCTCTGATGTCTTTTTTGCATAACTTGTTTGCTCACGCCCTGGGTTCCAATCACACCCTTCCCTGAACACTTCCCTACCTCAGTGCCTCGCTTACTGCTGCTGTTCCTTCACCTGGACTGTCCTTCTAACACTGTGACTGACGGGCATCTTGCCCATCCTTCAGACCAGCTCACGCCATCCTCCCTAACCAGTCCACTTGTTCCCTGTCGTGCCCTACCTTGCTTTCTAAAGTCCTGACCTTCCCTTTGGTTTTCCAGTCCTCTGTTTTTAAATTTATAGCAATTTTACATTCCTCCTTATAGTGATTTGTGTTCATGTCTTTGCTCTGTTATCAGACTGTACCTTGAAGGCAAAAACCTGAATTTGTTTTGATCCTTTATAGAATTGAATAGAATTTAGAATTTAGGTGGCTCATTTCACTCAAACTAAGCCACAAAAACCTTTCAGTTGTCACCTTTCAGGGGAAAAACAGGGCGGCAGGCATATATAGCTTGTCAGAGAAAAATAATCAACACCATGGACATAGTTAAAAGATGATTCTATTTAGGAGTGTCCAGGATTTCTGATTCTTGCTGGGAGAAGGCAGGGGTTCACCTTGCTTCTGCTTTTTCCCCCACATCTGCTTTTTATCACAGTTGGTTTTCTTGGTGGCTGCTGCTATCCCACTCAGTAAACATTACATGCCTGCTGTACAGAATTCAGACACCCTGCTCAGGCCTGCAGATGACAGGGATGAGGGGGAGAAGCACTTCTCTGTATGATCTTGAGGGTGGACTACCATTAGAGTGGAAGTTACTCAGGAGTATACTATGTGTGATACAAGATTCGTGGACACTTGCTTTGTCTTAGGAGATCTTCTAAACCCTGTGCTCTTTAGAATGCCTTTGGGTGCCCTGGTCCTTCATTCTTGGTTCCTGCTGGATCCAACTGATTTTTGCAGCTCTTTTTTTTTTTTTTAATTAACAAGAACTCCAGAGTTGCAGAGTAGCTTTCACAGTCACAGTCTCCTGTTTTATCTTTAAACCATGGACAGCTGACTCTCTCTGACTTGTTTGTGTTACCTTGTCTACTCTTACGTGCCTGATGCAGTGTCAGTTCTAACAACACTAAAACCTTTTTCATCAAAGCTTGTCGGCTTGAACTTGTTATAGGGAGAAAAGTGCCAGGGTGGGTGTAAAGGTAGAAGCTTCAGAAGTGCTTGACTTCCTGCTCTCCTCCCTCCTCCCTCCCCCTTCTTCCTGGTTGCTGTTGTTGATAATACATAGTTATATCCTTTGGACCGTTAGCCTAAATAGAAGTTCAGGATCTTAGTAATGAGCGGTGACCTTCTGTCTCTCTCAGGCACTTAATGATGCCAAGCGGGAACTTCGATTTCTCTTGGTTTATCTTCATGGAGATGACCACCAGGACTCCGATGAGTTCTGTCGGTAAGTAAATGAGTCATTTTCTTTCTTTCTGACACTTTATAGTTGGCAAGCTGGTCTTATGTTGTTTTCATCCTGTTCCATAGCAACACTCTCTGTGCACCTGAAGTTGTCACACTGATCAACAGCAGGATGCTCTTTTGGGCTTGTTCCACAAACAAACCTGAGGGGTACAGGGGTAAGTGGTGTTTCTCTTGCCTCATTGAGCGTATCAGAATATCTTTGGGGAAGTCTGGAAAAATATCCCACGCCATTTCTTGGGTGATTGTTTTGTGGTAAACATAATACTAGTTGTAGTTTTTATTTATATCACTGAATTTGGTCAGTAGTCCTGCGAGATGAAGGTTGTATTGTTCCTTTGATTTTATGAAACAGTTTCAGAGGCTAACATGAGACAGATCCAAGAGCATACAGTTGAAGCATGATCGGGATTGACAGGCTTTAAGGCCCATTTTTTTTGTTTTGTTTTGTTTTTATTTTTGTTTTTGTTTTTGAGTCAGGGTTTCTCTGTGTAGTTTTGGTGCCTGTCCTAGAACTCACAGAGATCTGCCTGGCTCTGCCTCCCGAGTGCTGGGATGAAAGGCATGCACCACCACCACCCGGTCTTGCATCTTAGTTCTTAATCTTTACTCCTAAGTGTTTTGTGACCATTTGGCATGTCCTGCAGTCTGTGTTTTGCCATTCTATTATGGCTCTGTAGAGCTGGCAGATAAATGCCACAAAGGATACTTTTTGTAGAAAGTTATAAAATTTCTTCTTTCATAACATAAGGACAAAGATGCAATTGTATTATAGTAAAATTTTGGTTATTTACAGAACAACTTTCTTACTTTATTTGGAGCAGAAAAACTAGCCTTGTTAAGGGAAGAAAAAAAGATTAGGAAAATGAGGTATGGAAGAAATTGGATGAGGAAGAAAAGACAGAGCATATGTAGTGTGTAGAAATCATGACCAATAGCCAGGTGGCGGCGCACGCCTTTAATCCCAGCACTTGGGAGACAGAGGCAGGGGGATCTCCGACTGGAGGCCAGCCTGGTCCACAGAATGAGTTCCAAGGCTGTTACACAGAGAAACCCTGTCTCAAAAAACCAAAAAAAATGTAAAAAAAGAAATCGTGACCAACAGCATGCAGCTGAGAACTGCAGCCTTGTCTGCTTTTGGCTTTGACCCTTCATTGATATTTGGAGAAATTATAACTTAAGCAGTAACTGGTTCTTTGTAGAGCCTTCTTCCATTCAATAGACATTGTCCTAGAGCCTTGCAGCCTTTCCCAGCATGATAACGACAGCTCATCAGAAAGGGTTGTCCTGTCCTGGTCACTGACCTCAGTTTAGGATACAAACATGTGACAGAAAAGGTGAAGAAGCCAGGCAGGGCTAGTTAGATGACTCAGTTGGGAAAGGCACTTGCCACCAAGCTTGACAAGCTGAGTTTGTTCAGCCTACCTGGTGGAAGGAGAGAGCCAACTCCAGAAAGCTATCCTCTGATCTCTGCACATACCTGTAGAGAAAACAAACAAACAGTAGAGGAGCTGGAGAGATGGCTCAGTGGTTAAGAGCGCTGGCTGCTCTTCCAGAAGACCTGGTTCAATTCCCAGCACCCACATGGCAGTTCATAACCATCTGTGACTCCAGTTCCAGGGGATCTGACACCTTCTTTCAGCCTTCACAAGTACCATTTGTTTATGCATGTGGTGCACATAAATACATGGAGACAAAACACTGATATACATAAAAAAGAAATAACTTTGTAAGTGTATTTTCAGCAGTTATTATAAAAAAGAAAAAGAAAGAAGCCAGTAGAAAAAAAAATCGGCAGAGAAGAAATGACACCTTTCTTTTTTTCCCCAGCCAAGATTAAAGCATTCTGTCACTCAGTATGCAAAGTCAGAAGGTTGATCTGTTTCTTCCCCAAGTCTTACCCTTGATCTCTTGGGTCTATCAGTCTCACAGGCTTTACGAGAGAATACCTATCCATTCCTGGCTATGATTATGTTGAAAGATCGCCGAATGACTGTGGTGGGACGGCTAGAAGGCCTCATTCAGCCTGATGACCTCATCAACCAGCTGACATTTATTATGGACGCAAACCAGACTTACCTGGTATCAGAACGCCTGGAAAGGTACCAGGGAGTTCCCTTCTAAAAAGAGACAGATGTGTCTGAAGGGCTGACCTTGGGCTCCACAAACTTTTTTCCCTTGTCCTAGGCACTTTAAAAGCCTTTGCTTCATGTTGAAGAATATCTTAGAATGCTGAACATTATAGAAAGAACTTAATGTGAAAAAGGTGGACTGGTTATAAGTCCTCCTCCATTACGTGAATTATATACAATAATTATAGAAAATTTGAAATGGGAAAGTCAAAGAAATTGGAAATCAGTCATAATTCTAGGGTACTTTTAATTTTGTAGACACTTGTGCACACCTCTGTCTACTTACTCTGAAGATAATAATAGAAAACAAACAAAAGGTCTGCTTACCTTGCCATACTCAGAACATCACTTCTGGTACCAGGTGTGTAAGTGGTTCTGCAGCAGTGGACTACAGCTAGGTGTCTGCTTAATCAGTTCACTTCCAACCTTCTTGTCGCGAGCTCAAGGCTGTCACCTTTCTCCTTTTTCACTGTAGATGCCAGTTGCAACTCCTGCATTGTTTTGCATGTAGTTTTAGAACCATATATCAAGACTCCCACAGCTTGCACTTTGACTAATTTACTCAAGCAGTTCAGCAAACTCTGGAAGCACTTAGCTTCACTTGTTTCAGCTCTCAGGCAGTGTTTAAATTATGTCCTTCCAGGATCTAGTGCAGACTTCATTGCATGAGCATGATAAAGGCATAAACAACCATCAGAAGGTACTGATGAGTTGACTGTCCATAAAGTGCTGTCTTTGCAAGTACTGGAACTTAAGTTCAGATTCTCAGCACTCACACGAAAAGCTAGGTACAGTTGCAGTCCCAATGCTGAGCAGACTGGAAATAGGAGGATCCTTGTGTTCTAGCCAATGAGCAAGCTTCAGATTCATTGAGAGACCTTGTCTTAAGAAATAAGGTAAGCTGGGTGGTGGTGGTGGCGGCGGCAGCGGCGGCGCACGTCTTTAATCCCAGCACTCAGGAGGCAGAGGCAGGCGGATCTTTGTGAGTTCAGGGCTAGCCTGGTCTACAGATTGAGTTCTGGGACACCCAAAGATACACAGGAAACCCTGCCCTCAAACACACACACACACACACACACACATACACACACACACACACACACACACACACACACACACACACACACACAAAAGAGGGCCTGGGAGATGGCTCAGCAGTTAAGACCATGCACTTCTCTTATAGAGGACCCTATTTCAAGTCCCAGCACTTAAGACAGTTAGCTCATAACTACAGCTTTACTCCTTAAAGGGCACCTTTGTACATGTTCACACACACACACAATTTTGTTTTGTTTTTCTTCTAGACAGGGTTTCTTTGTGTAGGCCTGGCTGTCCTGGAATTAGCTCTGTAGACCACACTAGCCTTGAACTCACAGAGATCTGCCTGCCTCTGCTTCCCAAGTGCTGTAATTAAAGATGTGCACCACCACTGCCCGGCCAACACACACAATTTAAAAAATAAGAATAATTTTTTTTTTAAAGATTGAGGGCCAGTCAGGTGGCACTTGTTTTTAAGTCTGAGTCCTCAGGACCCACATGGTGGAAGGAAAGCGCTGACCCCAGGTTGTGCTGTAGGGTGCTCACTCCATCCCTGTACCATGTGCAAATAAATACATGGAGGAGAAAACATGCAGAAGCCTATAACTGGCCAAAGTGTGGAGAAGAGTGATGGTGACGTGCTTGGCTCTCAAGTGGAAGAGCTGTAACCGTGCCCTTCAGAGCTCAGGGGATATCGGGAAGTAGGAGCAGGAAGGAAGTCAAAGCCAGGGCATGAAGAGATGTCGTCTGGACACAGCACAGCCGTTGCAATTCTCAGCTCACTGCAGCTGTGTTACCGGCCCATCAGCACTTCATCCTGGTGGGGCCTCAGAGGTCGCAGCCCTCCCTGAGGGTCTGCAGTCAGTGGTTGTTGGGAGTAGCACTGATAAGTCACCCATGCTTCCATAAATAGCTTCCCAACTACCCTCTGGCAAGAAACTGAACTCAGTGGCCACAGACAGACAGACAGTCGGAGAGGACTTGTTGAGAAGGTCAGGGGAAAGGGAGGGGAATGGAGGTTGGAAGATGAATAAAGGTCATTGTGTAAATCATGAAATTGTCGAACAGTGAGTGGAGAGCCAGTGAGGTAGCTCCGCAGGTGAAGGTACTGGCTACTGTCTGACACTCAGATTCTGATCCTGACCGAATCCCACATGAGGCTGGCCACGGAGGAAAGATGTGGCTCTTTCAGACTCTGCTCTGCTTCAGAAATGCCTTTGCGGAGCAGCATGTTTACCTTGCCACCAAATCTTCAGTGTAAGAGAAGATAGAGCCGGACGGTGGTGGCGCACGCCTTTAATCCCAGCACTCGGGAGATAGAGCCAGGTGGATCTCTGTGAGTTCGAGGCCAGCCTGGGCTACAGAGTGAGTTCCAGAAAAGGCACAAAGCTACACAGAGAAACCGTCTGGAAAAACAAAACAAAAGAGAGAGAGAAGATAGACTGGGAATGTAGCTGAGCTAGTAGAGTGTCTCCCTGGCATGCACAACCCCGAGTTCGATCCTGCCTGGAATCCTAACCCTTGGGAAAGGCGTCAGAAGTTTAAGGTCATCCTTGAATACATAGTGAGTTTTGAGACCACCCTGAGGTGTGTAAGATCCTGTGTCTTAGCCGGGGTTCCATCATTGTGATGAAACAGCATGACTAAAAGCAAGATGGGGAGGAAAGGATTTATTTTGCTATAGTTCCACATCACAGTTCATCATCCAAGGAAGTCAGGACAGGAACTCAAGCAGGGCAGAATCCTGGAGGCAGGAGCTGATGCAGAGGCCATGGAGGGTGCTGCTACCTGCTTGCTCAACCTACTTTCTTATGGAACCCAGGACTAGCCCAGAGATGGCCCCACCCACAATTCATTGGGCCCTCTCCCTCAATCACTAACTAAGAAATGCCTTTAAGCCAGGCGTTCTCCCAGGTGTGTTTCACTCTCCCCAGGTAACTCAGCTTGAGTCAAGCTGACAAGTGAAAAGTAGCAGCAACCAGGACACTGCCTCAGAAAAAATCTTTTTTAATAAGATAAAAACCAGGAGCAGGGCATGGTGGGCATGTCTCTAATCTCAGTACTTGAAAGGCTGGAGCAGGAAGACCTCAAGCTAGGGGCCAACCTTCCAGACAAGGGAAGTGGGAGGAACACAGTCGAGAAATGTACTTGGCTAACACACGGATGGCCCTGGTTCTGTCCCTAGAGTGCAGAGTGGGAGGGAGGAGGAAGATAGGTGGAAGACAACTCGGTGAAGTTGGAGTTTGTTTGGTCCGGTTTTGATCTGTCCACAGGGAAGAAAGGAACCAGACCCAAGTGCTGAGGCAACAACAGGACGAAGCCTACCTGGCTTCCCTCAGGGCGGACCAGGAGAAAGAAAGGAAGAAGAGAGAGGAGCGGGAGAGGAAGCGCCGGAAGGAGGAGGAGGTGCAGCAGCAGAAGCTGGCGGAGGAGAGAAGGCGGCAGGTGAGCCCTGTCTCTGTCCGTGTCATTCCCAGCATGCCGAGACCTTGTCACTCAGGACGTGTGTGTGTGTGTGTGTGTGTGTGTGTGTGTGTGTGTGTGTGTGTGTGTGTGTGTGTGTGTGAGTGTGAAGCCGGAGTTGTGTTGGGATTGTGGGTGACTTGTTTCTCACCTCATTTGTTCTCGGTGTCAGTGTCAGCAGACTGGCATTTCACTCACGGTGTTATTTCACTGTGTATTGCCACTTGCTTACAGCCAGGATCCCTTTTCCTCTAAATAATCAATAGTCAGCAATACAGGTGGTACAGTGAAGTTGTTCCTCATTTCTTGCCAAGTAGGTTTTTCGGGGGTGGTTGTTTTATAATTTTATCCAGCCAGGTGTAGTGGTGCACACCTTCAATCCCATCGCTCAGAAAGCAGAGGCAGATGGATCTCTGTCAATTTGAGGCCAACCTGATCTACATATCAAGTTCTATGCCAGCCAGGGTTACCTAATGAGACCCTGCCTCATTCAAACAGTCAATGAGACTTTGTCGGTGTGTATGTGTGATGTGTGAGTGCTGGCACACAATGCCACAGGGCTTCTGTGAAGGTCAGAAGACAGTTCGGGGACTCTCTCTCTCCTTCCACCCTCAACATAGTTTCTGAGGATGGAACTCGGGTCTTCTTTAGGCTTGGACCTTCAGAGCCCAAGCACTTTTACCTGATGAGCTATCCTGCCAGCCCCCAGGAGAGTTTCCTTATAGTAATTGTTTATTAATTTTTCTTCCTGGTGCACAATAAACCTACATGGCCATTGTATTCCTGGTTTCTTGTTTCCCTGTTTAAGCCAAATCCTTACCTTTGTTTTGTGTCTTTCTAGAACTTACAGGAGGAAAAAGAAAGAAAGTTGGAATGCCTGCCTCCTGAGCCATCCCCAGATGACCCTGAAAGTGTCAAGATCATTTTCAAGTTACCCAATGATTCCAGAGTAGAGAGACGATTCCATTTTTCACAGTCTCTAACAGTAAGGATCACTGATAAGGAGCCAGATGATCTATGTAGATTTAGGCTGTAGATGTGTGTTTGTGTGTGTGCACCATGGTGTGCATATGGAGGTCCAGAGGAAAGTCATGGGAGTCTAGTGTCCTGGGTGTGGGTCCTTGGGATGGAGTCTGTGGCTTGGCAGAAAGGACCCTGACCTGCTGAGCCCTTTGATGCGGCTCCTCCCCACCCCTAGCTTTAAACTGAAAATACACTGTGTTCTGAACTAGACACACTTGCAGTCTCAAAGGACTAAACAGAATGAAAACGAGGCAGTGGCTTGGAAGAGAAGCAGATAGCTCCACTTATGTGCTGACTTACATTGAGAGTAGAGCATTCACACCTCTGATTCTTTGGGTTTTATTTTTAGTGCTGGGGATAGAATTAAGGGTCTCCCAGATGCTAGGCAAGCATTCCAACATTGAGCTACATCTCCAGCCCTGGAATTTTTTTTTTTTTTTTTAAATAAGATTTATGTATTTTATGTATATGTGTGTTTGTTTTTCGAGACAGGATTTCATTTGTAGCTTTGGCTGTCCTGGAACTCACTCTGTAGACCAGGCTGGCCTTGAACTCAGAGAGATCTGCTTGCCTTTGCCTCCCCAATGCTGGGATTAATGTTTTATGTGTACACCAGAAGAGGGCATCAGATTCCATGAGAATTACATGAGACTACAGTCAGATGGTTGTGAGCCACCATGTGGGTGCTGGGAATTGAACTAAAGATCTCAGAAGAGCAGCCAGTTCTTTTAATTCCTCTAAGCCCTGGAATTTTTAATTAGGTAACATAAATGTGCCTCCACAGAGGCAGGCCAATCTCTATGAGTTTGAGTTCAACCTGGTCTATTTACTGAATTTTCAGCCAGTCACAGCCAGCACAATGAGACCCAGTCTTGAAGGAAGGATAAAAAAAAAAAAAAAGACTAAACCACAGGGGAAAACAATCCTTAGATCCTATGGGTGGTCAAGAAAGCAGCAGCTGGAACTGCTCAGTTATTAAAAGCACTTCCTGCTCATCCGGAGAACCTGAATTTGGTTCTCAGCACCCACTTGAGGTGGTTCACAACCACCTGTAACTCAAGCTCCCATGGCCTCCATGGGCCTTGCTCTCATGTGTACATACCCACCCAGTACCACCCCCATCCTCTGACAACCATATTCACATAATTTTTAAGACAGTTTTTAAGCAGTTGACTTCCTTTCAAATGTGAAGGAGATCCAGCTGCTGCTCAGCTCATTGTCATCACAGAAAGAAAAGAATGCTGGAAGTGGTGGCACATAGCTGTAATTGCTACTTTGGGAAGTGGAAACAGAAGGGTCAGGAGTTCAAGGCCAGCCTTGTCTGTATACCAAGTTCACAACCAGCCTGGGCTACCTAAAACTCAAAAGTAAGGGCCAGTGAGGTAGCTTAGTGCTTAAAAGGTGCTTGCCACCAAGCCTGATAACCTTAGTTCAATCAAACAAACAAACAAAATCCCCCAAACAGTAACTTGTATAATATTATCAGTTAAGTAGATATAAGTACTTTAAACAATTTAAAGGATACAGAAGAATGCTTGAGATATATCTTGAGTGTCTGATGATTTTGGTTTAGGGGAGCGATCCTGAAACTATTATCCTCCATGGTATTGAAGGATGAGTGTATAAATTTTTGTAATATGTCAATTAAATTTTCTGATTTTGAAGTCATTTAAAGTGTAACAAAATAATGTCTTCTGGGGTAAAGAGACACCAGGTTGACAGACCTCTTAAGACTACCTCAAAGAAAAATATATTTTGTGTACTGCACTTGTAGCTTTTCTGTAACTGTGGTTATTTCTGAGTACCTATTGTTTACTCTGCTGGGTGCAATGGCCCCATGCTGGTACAGTCCTGTGGTCTCAGCACTGGAAGAAGCAGAAGAGGCAGGTCAGTCTCTGAATTTAAGGCCAACCTGGTCTACATTGTAAGATTCTCAAATAAACAAATTAATAAACTTTAAAACAGTTTAGCTTTACTTAAAGACAGATTCTCAAAGATAAAACATAATTCAGAGGGCTAGTGATAGGCTTGTGTGAATTTTTTTGAGCCAGGGTCTCTACATAGCCCTGGCTGTCCTGGAAATCACTCTGTAGACCAGGCTGGCTTGAAACTTAGAGATCTGCCTGGCTCTGCCTCTCAAGTGCTGGGATTAAAGTTGTGCACCACCACCGCCTGGCTCCTTGTGAATTCTTAAAAAGAGCAAACACAGTTTTTTTTCCAGTGAACTAAACATACGTTCAATTCCATTGTAATATGACTATTGTATACCTGGGTCATCCTGGGGAAGGTTGGGAACATCTGACTTCACAGTGTGTCTCCTCACTGTATTGTTTTCTGTGTGGCATTTACAGGTCATCCATGACTTCTTATTCTCCTTGAAGGAAAGCCCTGAGAAGTTCCAGATTGAAGCCAATTTCCCAAGACGGGTCCTGCCCTGTGTCCCTTCAGAAGAATGGCCCAACCCCCCCACGCTGCAGGAGGCAGGACTCAGCCACACAGAGGTTCTCTTTGTTCAGGACCTGACAGACGAGTGACAGTTTTATGCCTCCTCCCTCCTACCCCAATCCCTAAGAGAAATGGAAAAACAAAAAGAGAGAACAAGAGATAAATTCATATTATTATTATTATAATACAATATTTTTTTGAAGAAAACTGCTGCATCCTAAGGAAGGATCAGAAACCATGCTGCCTGCAAGAGTCACAGCCTGTGTGCGTGTGCAAGGCCAGCAATGAACACACCTGCTCGGCAGACTTACCTTCCCACAGCCTCTCCCACACACCTTCCAGTGAAGAGACTTCTCCTCCAACCCATCCATTGTCCAAGTGGGGAAGGAGACATTCCCACTGTCTCTCATTCATTCTTGCTTTTCTAGAAAATACAAATGGAAACCTCCCTCAACCAGCTACAGCAGCATCTCCTGAGGAAGAGGGGAGCCGGTATGGAAAGGACAGCAGGCTGCCTGCAGTTTACGAATAACTTTGTTTCTGTTTGTTTTGTAACGATAATGACCAAAGGATTGAGGCTGACCTAGGTGTATTTTTTTCCTTAAATTTATTTGATAAAGAGCCAATGCCGTGGGTTCCTTAGCCCAAGGTGGTGTAATAAAGGTGCCCTGGGCTAATTTGCGCTTATGTCTGCCATTGCCCCTCTCGTATTCCCGAGAGGTCATTTGTTTGGGTACAGTTCTGCCACTTGTGTATACCGTTTGGAGCAGTGAGGGGAATTCTGGGTTCGTGACCCACAAAGGCTGTGTGTGTACAGTTTACACCTATGTGTGGGGTGTGTGCTCACCTTCACACATAACTGCAGCTTTTCCTTGGCATTTGTACCAGGTGGTGGTGGAGGGCTCTGGTTCTTCTCTGCACATGCTGCTCTTCCCAGATTTCCTAACTTGTCAAGCTTGGTGCCTTCCCAAAGGACTAATGGGACCAACCCTTGGGCCCACCGTTCCACCTGCGGGTGCCCGTCCTGTTGGAGTGCAAGTGTGATAATGATGTTTTAAACATAGAACCATAGCCGGCATGGTGGTACACACTTCGCGTCCCAGCAGTGGGAGAGAGAGGAAGTCAGAGCTCTGATTTTCAGGCCAGCCAGAGCTACATAGTGAGACCCTGTCTCGAAAAAAGGGGAAATGTGATTCCCGGCCTGTGTAAGTTGTTGGAAGGCACACTTCACTTTCTGATGAGGCCACTTAGCAGAGGCAGCCCTTAGCCTTTCTCCTTTGCCATGGTGAAGCAACGGGAGCTTTTTCCTCTAAATGTCTCATCTGTGGTTGAGTTCATGGTAGTGGATACATGGTTAGGCCATGCATTAACACACACCAGTGTGCACTGACAAGTTTTCCAAAGTGTGGACTAGCTAGACTGATACAGGCTTCATACTGCCACCCTTTGAATTGACTGTAGTCATTAGTGTACCATGAGGCAAGGCATTCCATTCAAGAGAAAGCATAGCTTGTGTTGGTCACCTCCAGAAGCCCCTCTTAACTAAAGCCACTGCTCTCTGTAACAGTGTGCTCCTGTTCTCTGTAGCTTTCCACTGTTAGAATAAGCGTAGTGAGGCTGCCTCATGGAGTCCTTTGGAAAACCTGAGAATGTCTGTCCTGTGGCCTTCGTGCAGGGCTCGAAATTCTACCTTAGGAAACGTTAGCTCTGCTGACTGGCTGCCGGGGCGGGTGAGAAACCACACCTGATGCCCAACAGCAGGGATGGGCCTAGATGGCCCTGAGGGGAAGTCTTGTCAGTGACAGCCCCGCAGAGGGACTTAGTCACCTGAGCCTCTGTCCCAGTGTGTAGGCTGTCTGCCTGGCACACAGGCAGGTGCACTATGGAAGTCTTGCTCACACCTGCTTGAGGAAGTTCTGATTCCCCCCCTTAATCTCATTCTGTAACGTGTGCATTTTATGCTTCTCACCTTTTGATAGCTACAAAAAGATACTAGAGGGCGGAGGAAAACCAGGGGACCTCTGAGGACAGCCTGTTCGTGGACTGGAGGCTTTGTGTGAAGTACCTGCCCAACTCTTGTCGTCTCCCCCCTCCCCTTAGCTTTTTTTCTCAGCTTTGGTGGCCCAGGCTGGCCTTGCTTGTCCCCTCCCGCTTCCCACTCTCATGTGCGGGGCCATGGGTGTGCACCACCACACCAGGCTCCATAGTGGCTGTGGAACAGTGACATTTTCCTGCTGCCCTAGTTCTGCTGTCTGGGTGGCAGTTCCCCCTTCCTGGGTGGAATAGGGATTTGACATAGTGCCCTTCATGCCACACAGTCTGTGACTCCCTAAGACCTGTGAGCCTGAAGAGATCTTCTAGCCTTTGCTGGTGTCTAAATTGCTTCTGGGCAAGTCATGGATGATAGAAGCATTTATTTCCAGTTCTGTCCCTTGCTCCCCATGGAAGTAGTCTCAGCTGAATGGCCATGGGGATGACCAGGCAGTGGTGCCTGAGTGAGTTGAAGTTTTGCAACCTCAGTGAGTCCTGCCTGGTCTTCCTCTGCTGAGTTGTCTGCAGCAGATAGGTTTGTTTTTTTTTTCTCCTGGCTTGCTTCCACATGAGATAATAGAGAAGAGATGGCAAGAGAGTCCTGTCTCTTTAAAACTAGAGTCTCCAACTGATCAGCTATTACGAAAATTGCTAATGGTGCCAAGGCCAACGAAAGAGTTTCAGAAATGGACTGAGAAGGAGCAGTATCCCCCAGAACACAAAGTCAGGGTGTCACCCGGTGCTGAACAGGGACCGCCACCTTCCAGCTGGTTGGGTTTTCTGTTTGTCTGGGGGAGGTTCTGACGTGAGAAGAACACAGCAACAGAATATCCATCCACAAAAGATGCAGTGCCCCATCCTGTGCTGCAGCTGAGTAGTTAACAATTTCCTGAAGAAATCTAGTGTACTTCAAATTTTTTCATAAAGGTTTACATTGTATTGTAGGTTAACATTAAACGTTTTATAACAAAAAATTATACAACCAGCTGTGGGTCTTTCTGTCTAGAAACTTTCCCATGAGAAGGGAAGGGGAAAGGCAATGTGGAGAAGAATCGAGAGAATCCTGGAGTTAAAATAGACCTCACACAGATACACTGTATCCCTGTGAGAAACAGCTAACTAGCTTTGTATAGGAAGAGTGGACGGACATGGGGTCAGATTCAGCTGTCATTGATGAGCTTTGTGACTTCGGGCAGCTGTGGTTTCCCCAGTTGTAAACGAAGCTAACGACCGGCTTGCCTTGGGAGAAGTTTGAAAGAGTAAATGAAAATTCAGTGTGGGTCCCTGTCCCACAGGAATGTATTTTGGAGGAGCATTGTCACGCAAGAGTCGCTGTCTGTTCCTGTAAGCAGAGCTGTTCTCAAAGAAGTATCTAGCAAAGAACTTGGGGGAGTCCCATCCAAGGGTGACCTTTGCTCCTGTTTTCATCCAAGCCCCAGCCTTTCTCTTCCCTGCCCTTTCCTGGTACAGGGAACTCATCGGAGAATTCCTGGATCCCTGTCACTCTCAGCCCACTCTTGGGTCTCAACAATGGGGGAGGAGAGCTTCATTTTTTAATCTTTATTTTTATGTGTATGGGTGTTTTGCCTGCATTTGTATCTGCATCACATGTGTATAGAGCTCCATGTTCTTTTTTTTTTTTTTTTTTTCCCTCATTTTTTTGAGACAGTGTTTCTCTGTGCCTGTCCTAGATCTTACTCTGTAGACCAGGCTGGCCTCGAACTCACAGAGATCCACCTGCCTCTGCCTCCTGAGTGCTGGGATAAAAGGCGTGCGCCACCACCATCCGGCCAGCTCCATCTTTTTAAAGTACATGGTAAGTATAAAGTTAACCTATGCCCAGACAGTCTGCAAGGGTTTATTCACCTAAGGTCAGAAGATAAAACAATTTAAACTCTGGTGCCAGACCCAAGTGGTTTCAAGTCCTGGCTTTGGCAGTGATTCTGGTCATGTGACTTCTGTTCTTTAGGCCAAGGTTTCAGCTATAAAGTGGACTGGCTGTAGTATTTTATTTCTTGAGACAGGGTCTCCCTGTGTAGCCCTGGCTGACCTGGAACTCACTATGTAGCCCTGGCCTTGAACTCAGATGAACAAGTGCTTGTATTAAAGGCATGCACCACCATTCCTGGCCTGGCTGTAGTATTTTAGCAGGACTGAGTGAATTGCTAAGTGTTGTACAGCAGGTGTTTGCTAAATACCCAGATCATGTTTTCAGCAATGTGTAGTTTGCTCAGTGAAGGTTTGCCTGGGTGGGCTGGAGTACAGCTCAATAGCAGACTACTGGCCCAGTGTGCGTGGAGATCTCTTCCTAGACTTGTAAAGCAACAAAAACTCACCCAAGTATGGACGAGGGGCTGGGGTGAAGTGGGGTTTGCTTATTGGCAGGCAGCACCTTTGCAACGGTGTGCTTAAGAACAACAAAAACAGATTTTCATTTATTTTGAGAATCAAGGGCAAACATGAAGGAGTCAGTTCTCTCCTTCCACCATGGATCCTAGGGATCGAACTCTAATCGTCAAGGTTGGCAGCAAGCACTCTCTACCTGCTGAGCCATGCCCCTGGTCCTGTGCTCTTCACCCCTGTTAGAACCCCTTCCACACACCTTTGAGCTCAGCTACCATGCTTGATGAGCCTCCACAATCCTTTTGCTAACTCTCAGGATGACATCCCAAAAATCCCAGGTTTCTTTTCTTTAAATTGAGGCTTGCAGCCGGGAGGTGGTGGCGCAGGCCTTTAATTCAGAACTCGGGAGGCAGAGGCAGGTGGATCTATTGAGTTCAAGGTCAGCCTGGTCTACAAAGAGTTGCAGGACAGCTGAGGCTACACAGAGAAACCCTGTCTCGAAACTCACCCCCCACCACCACCAAAATTGAGGCTTTCCTTGTAAGGTAAAGCCTGTGAGTGGAAAGCTGGGCATGGCCACCTCTCCAGTACCAGCACTTTGAAGGCTGAGGCAGGAAGGTTTAGTTAAACCCACCCCGGGCTACATAAACTTAAACAGCCTGTCAGTAGAAGCCACTTGGTTTCCTATGACTTGTCAACGGGAAGCAGGGTCTGTTCTGTCACTCCCGTGGGTGGCCCTGAAGCACATTGCTGAGGCACGTGCCACCCGCTTGGACCACTTTGTCCCCATGTGACTGCTACCAGGCAGTCTCCAGATATTGACAACCTAGGACTCCCACGTAATACAATGAGGATTCCCTAAAATTTTGCTCTTGCTCCTTTTTTCCCCCTTAGACTCTGAAGAATTTGTTTGCCTGCATGTCGGCGTGTACACCACTTCTGTGCCTGATATCATCAGAGGCAGGAGGGAGTTGGATGCCCCGGAACTGAAGTTATGAACAGTTAGGAGCCACCACGTGGGGGGTTCTAGGAGCCAAACCTGGGTCCTCTCCTAGAGCAGCCAGCACTAACCACTGAGCCGTCCCTTCAGCTCCATAACGTTTTCTTTTTTCTTGTGGTGCTGGGAATTAAACCTAAGCAAGCATCCTAGACCTTGTCGGTATGGGATTTTTTGTTGTTTGGTTTTAATTGTTTTGTTTTGTTTGAGACAAGGTCTTTGTATTGTGTAGCTCAGGCTGTCCTGGAACTCATTCTGTAGACCAGGCTGACCTCACACTCACAGAGATCTGCCTGCCTCAGTCTCCCAAGTTCTG